TTCTACCACCTACGAGTTATCCAGTTTTTAAAGAGTACTTTACAGAAGAAGATTGTGTTTTCAAAGCAAAATGAGGATTAAAAAAATATATACCTCGATGTTTGGAATGTAATATGGAAAGGCAAACAGGATGTTTCCCAACCTGAAAGCGTGCTTAACTAAAAGGTTTATCTTTTTAAATGCCCAGTTTATGACAAATTTGAGCTACATTTTATTAAACCAAGGTACGAAACTCCTTTAATGAGTAAGAAACACTGTCCAGTAGTCATGTATTCCTGACATTATACATCTGAGTTTTAAGGGCTGTAATGTTTAGACATCAATTGTAAAATTGTAAAAGTTGTTTCTTACATCTTTAAACTAAAAACCTTTTTAAAGTCACCTTTTCAATATGGAAAATTCTAAAGATTGTGTGTATTTCATGGGTATATTTTATCTTAAACTATTGTGTGGTTGTTGGAGATGTATTTTTATTGTACATTCAAATTGGAATTTTATCTTTCTCTTTTTTATTTTTCTCTCAAAACACCATTTCTTCTTATCTTCAAGTTCTAATATATATATTTATATATTCATAAGTAAATATAGACATATGTTCGAATACACAGATGAGCTTAAAATAAGTATTTTACTGATGCTTCTTGAAATTTCAGGGTTTTAAGAAGGAAATATGTTCATATAAGTTCACATAAAATCTGAAGGTCTTTTTTGGTTCAGTGTTTAGAAAATTCTTGATAATTTAGAATCTTCCACAATGGAAAGTAAAGCATTCTGTCACAAAAGCAGGGAGGATGAGACACAAGGTCAAAGGGCATTTTAGAAACAAACAGCTGGACCAGTTTATTTAAACAGATACAGGGATGGGAGAACTGACCTCTGTTTGACTTACAGTGGGAGGAGCAAGAATGTCATTTTATTACTTTGCCCAGAAGGAAAATGTTTTTCTATTTGAATTCACCCTGAAGCCATCTAAACACATGGCTTTGCTGTATAGAGTATAAATCCAAAGAGAGTACGTATAAGATAGTCTAGGATAATGATAACATACACTAAAGAGAATCAAATATTGTGGTGGTTTTAAGATCAAAGAGGTGCCGTTTTAAAAAATAAAATATTTTGCTGTGAGTTATTTTTAGATAAAGATGTCCACTGTGACCCTAGATAATAATATGTGCTTCATGTAAGTATAGGAATTATAATTCAATAAACTTCTGAGAGTTACTACATCCTATATGAGTTAGTAATGTCGACTATATTGAAAAAAATTGTTTAAAGTTTTCAAAAGTGAGAAGTTCCAAATGTATCTACTAACGTGGTCCAACAATTAGGCAGTGATTAGGTGTTCTTAGGTTTTCAACGTTTTATTATTTTTATTTTATTTAATGAAAGAATTCCCACCTTCATATCTCTATATCCTATAGGTAGCCCAGATCTGGTTTGTCAATAACAACAAATGGTTAATGGCCATGAAAAGAGAGGCAAGTAGTATCTAGTACCTGTGGGCCCTTAGCTAAGGGGCTGTGGTAAGGTGTTTGCTCACTACATGGGGACCACGGCAGGGCTGGAATAACTGCACTTAGCATTGTCTGTTGACAACCTTCAGAGGCACATAGACAAACCTGAGCCTGGCGAGCAGAGAGTGACCCAAGTGGTGAGTAGACTCAAAATCTTAGAAAAACCCACATTCTAGAAGGAACTTGTTAAGAATCATAAATGTTTCAGCTAGGGAGAAGAGGGCAGAAGAGGGGAGAAGACAATGGGGCATGATGGCTATAGTTTAAATATTTGAAAGGCTATCTTGAAGAAATGCGATTAGCATTGTTTAAATTACCCCAAGGAGTTGTTTTGGTGAAAGCATTTTAGATCAGGTAAGGCAGAACCTTCTAACAATTGCCTTGTCCATGGAATAAATGGACTCTCAGGTAAGGTGGTGAGTGCTGTATTAGGAACACTCTAGGTGAGGCTACCCAGCTACTTGGTAGGGATATCAGAGAGGGGATTCAGGTCAGCAAGCAAGCTAGCTGACAGTTAAAGCCCTTTTCAAACCTGAAGTGTAATCTGTCTATGATTCTATGGGTTTAATAGTCATGGATTCAAACACGAATTGGTCTTTGGAAACTGAATGTACCAGTATGAAGGAAGTAAGCTTTGGAATATAGATAACCTAAGTCACTGAATCTTCTTATGCATAACCTTGTCTTTGTCTCTATACACAAACAGTGCAGTCATCAAAACTCCCAATCTACAAAATGTCCAGTCATTGTTATTCCCAAAATCAACAGTAGAGTTGTTGCCAGTGGTGACTGGCTCAAAACTAGCTCATTTAAAAATATCTGTGTAGTTTGGAATTTTCTAGGTAGATGGCACAGTAGTGGCCTTGCGCTTACTATGATGCTAGAGAGGGGGACACCCGCTACTGTTTGCCAGCTGTGTGTCATTCAGCAAATTATTCACATCTCTTGGGCAACACGTGACCTCAAGTAAGTCACTTAATTTCTCCGAGCTGAGGCTTCTGTTAAAAAATGCTCTTCCTATTTTTAGCTAAATAATATAAATCATATCCATAAAATATTATGTTTTTAAAAGAACGTAAAAAAAGTTATCAGGCAGAGTTCTTTCCCACTAAAAGCCTGTAGACTGTGAACAGCACTGTAGATAAAGAACTGTTTTTGATCTCTTACCTATATTAGTTACTATGAAAATTACTTTTGGTATGTGCAGAATATTAATATTAAATAATTTTCTAATTGGTCATGCAGTGAAAGCAGCTAATGAAAAAGCAGATTTTTTTTTTCATTTTAATTGGTTATTTCACATGGTGTTTTTACTACACCTGTGCTTATAATGAGAATGGAGAATTAATCTAACCTTCTGCTCACATGATTCCAATTTTCATGGTTTATACAAGATAATGATAACCTGATTTGCAACACAATTTGTTGTAGATCTGTGTTTTAAATATTTTTATTAGCAGTCCAGGGACTTCATATTCAAGAACAGACATAATATACATTGCCAATAAGAGTTAGCCTCAACGGTATCCTTTTAGTTAGATTCCAGTCTCATTATTTATTTTAATTACTTCTTAGATAATGAAAAAACATAAGGATATAAGATATTGAGAATCTTAAAATGTCATGAAGTATGCATTTTTATTCTAAAAACCTGTCCCTGTTTGTTTAATAGTTTAGTTTCTGCGGACTATTTTTCTACCTGAAGTGGGCAGACTTACAAACTAAAATTCATACTGGACTATGGATCCTTTAATTATTAATAGTGCATTATTAAACTTTTCATTGTATTTTTATGTGCTGCTCATGTCGAATATATTCAAATCCGAGTTGAGAACTAAAAGCAATTTACTATTTCAGAATCTAATATGCCCTGTTCATTTTCTGTATTTGATATGTAATTCTTAGTATTACTCGGTATAGAAAGAATCTTGAGTTAGAAATTTCATGAACAGGACTTTGGAGAGCTTGTATTAACCATTTTTTTTATTTTTTATTTTTTAGTGACTAACCACTTTTTGAGGGGCTGCTGACATTGTAAAAAAATCTTATTAAGACACAAGTGTCTTAATAAGACATTTATTATAAATTTTTAGGACTAGCTAGAGAAAGCAAGATGATAAGTTGAATAACTACATAGCTGTGACTTTGCCTTGACCTCACTTTGCATATAAAGAGCAAAAAAAAAAAAAAAAAAAAAAAGAAGCCACCCTAAGAAATGTCTACAAGGAATGCATTTCTCTGAAGTGAGTTAGTGGTGATAAACTCCAGACATTCTCTCATTTGATGGTGTGCTGCCATCCCAGTTCATTATCTTAATAGTGGGCATTAAAATAGAATTAGGTTTGCAAGAGGTAGGGAAGGTTTTGATAAAAATTGTAAAAAAGAAGTCAGAGAACATAAGATTGAAATGCCACTGGTTAGGAGAAGTAACAGATGACTTTA